CATATAAATCAACCCCTGCCACCACCTTCTGCCACAACTCCGTTGGTCTAATGGTCTATGTCATGGATTTTCAAATGGGAGGTCAGGGTTCAAAACCCGGCTAATGCAACTTTAAGAAAAAATCTCTTAAAATTTCATATTGTCACACAATTACCTTAATTCTAAACACCTGCTGACGTGACAGGCACAAGCTGGTATAGAAAACACATTTGAACTTGGTCAAAGTTCATTCTGCAAGTCCAATGCTGCAGGCAAAGCCATGCTGCAATGACATGCTACGTGGCAATGCGCACTTGTTTTTACATCGTAAAAACCRATGTCTAGTTTACCACTGTGTTCATTTAATCAACCTGATTTTTTAATGACATCTTTCTTTTATTAAATGAACCTCATTTAACAGGAACAGCTCTGGGGCAGTCAGTCTTTCTGCCAAGTTGTACCTTTGCAGCTTCATAGATAGATGTTTTGGGAATTATTTACTGGGTACCAAAATAAACAAGTATCAGATACCACTGYTACTTAAAAAATAGTACCCACTTCAGTAACACCCAACACTGATCATATAATCTGTTGGTGTACACTCCAATTAAACAAATAATCAGTGGTGGGCAGCACTAATCAGGAAATTAGTTCCACTAGCCGTAAAACACTATCTCATATACTGTATTTAGGTTCCCTAATTCTAAACCACTAACGCACTGAAAATTTTAGCAAAAGCTAATTCTAAAGCACTAAAATAACCCAGTTGACTCATGAACATTCTTCAACAGACAACATGAGTCACATGTTGCCGTGTTGCTCTCTTAAGACTTATCATTGACATCCCACAGCTGTATTTGGGTTCATATATTGTCACCTAGTGGATAAGTGACACATTTGAACAAAATGTGTGACAGCTTTCACCCTCAGCTGTTAACAATAATGTTGATCAATAACATTTAAAGACCTCAGTTAGTGCTTCTAAATTTAGCCTATAAAATTAGCAAGTGCTAATCCACTAATAAATTTTAAAATTAGCAAAAGCACTAATCAGGAAATAGTTCTCCAATTAGTGCTTTAGTGCTTTAGGGGAATTTTGCTCATCACTGCAAATAATGATGATGATGATGATAATGATGATGATGATGACGGTGATGATGGTAATAATGATGATGATAATAATGATGATGATGACGGTGATGATGATGATGATGATAATGATAATAATAATAATGATGATGATGAGAATGGTGATGTTGTTGTTATTATTATTGTTATTATTGTTATTGTTATTATTAATGGCATGTTTTCTGAATAATCACAGAATTAGAGAATTTTTTTTAAAATCCAACATTTAAAGAAAAGACTTGCAGAGACTAATCCACCAATCACTGTTAACAAAATAACAGACAGGAGGGACAAATGGGTCAAATAAGAGATGACTTATTAGTTGAAATTATTTTTTTTTATTGTGGATTTTTTTCTATCTATTGAATTGTTTAAATTTAATTATCTGACACTTTTTGGTGAGGAAATCTGGTTGTATAAACATGCAATTAAAAAAAATGGAGAAACAATTCCGAAAAGGCCCCTATCCTTTGGATAAAGCCTTTTTAAACTGACAGCTGAGTTTTTACAGCTCTTTGTTATTTTTGTGCAGATGTCCCAGTGTTCCACAGCAGCACCCTTGATAGGAGGTTTCCTGCCCAGTCCCACCCACCACAACCAGCTCCTCCTGCAGCCGCTCCGACCCAGCAGGAGGTGGATTCAGACCTGGTAGAAATCCTCATCTGAGTCTGTCATGTCATCGTTCACACCCCCACAGAGCTGATCGGACAGCAGCTTAATCACAAACACACACTCGTCTCATCTCTTCTTCACCATCATCCAAAATCAACACTTTATCTGGGACATATCTGCACGAGAAGTTTCGTTTGTTTGTTTGTTTGTTTGTTTGTTTGTTTGTTTGTTTGTTTGTTTGTTTGTTTGTTTGTTTGTAGAATTGCCCGACTGAAGGAACTCGTAAGCACAGAAACAAAAAGGTACATATGTAACAATCCTGTTTTATCTCTAAAATGTGACACTCAAACACATYCAATTTATGCTTTTATGTATTTATTTTTGCTTTACTTTACTTTTGAAAACCATTTAATATAAAGTGATGTGGAAGMTTTAACATGGATTAGCTAAACTAAGTACATGTCACTAAAACAATTAGGAAGCACTGAGAGCCAAAATACTTGTTGCACAAGTAGGGCTGGGCGATATGGCCCCCCAAAAAAATCTCAGATTTTTTTCATCCTAAATTCGATTTTC